ATTTTCAGGGTAGGTGTAAAATTGATCAATTCGAGGGTACTGAAAGTTTCGTCGCGATCGGCCGCTTTTTACGTGAGTTATTCGCGAAAAACCATGGGGGGGGTCCATCCGACCCCCCCCCCCCCCTACAGATGCGAGGGTTAACACTGAAGATGACTTTGAATAAAGTCGAAACGTTTGAAATAAAGCAATTTTATGTCATATTAGCAAATAGTTTGTCGTCAGTTTTACCTTGAAATGATATTTATGTCACAAGGATTCCCAACGCCATAGCAACTTATAGAATATACATAGATTGCCGTGTTATACCATGCAGCGTTCTGCGCAGTTGTACAAGAGCACCCATACCAAACATGCAGCCCAGACCGACGGCGGCGGCCTATAGGCCGAGCGGCCGTGGCGGTCGTCCACCGTGGACGTATATGGCGCACTAGCGCGGCACTGCACTGCACTGGTTGGGTTAGTCGTGGCGTGCACGGAGCGGTGGCCAGAGCTCGCCAGACTGGCAGGACGTGAGCTCGCTATCGGGAGCAAAACATCGGCTGTTATAGAGCATAAAAATAGATATAGCCTTCCTGTCTGAAGAAAAGAGCCAGACCAGGAAAAAGATGTCCATGGACAAAAAAAGTATCCGAAAAGTGAGGACAAAAGTAAATGGCTTATTTTTATGAGGAAATAAGGATGATGCCACATTTTTGTACGTAGAGTGAATTATATACGAAAAGGCTCTGATGCCATAGATAAAAAACAAAAGATTCTAACGCAAACATTCACCGAAAAACACCCAACCCGCTAATTCTCAGCACGAGTGCGGCGCCCGCGGGCTATGGCCCTACCTCAGCTCAGCGGGTCTGACCCAGCTCGGCTGATGAGCGCTGATATCAGATTCAGAGCGGCCAGAGCGGCGGCACAGAGGAGCCACCTCCCGCTGCGGTCGGCGCCGATCGGACCCGTCGACCTCCACAAAACACAGAGACAGTGATGGATTCCGGGCCGGCAGCCATCACTCCCCGCGCCGGACGAGCTGCCGAGGCTATATAGAGGCGAACTGAGCTGCCGGCAGCTATACGGAGGCGGACTGAGCTGCCAGTGGGCCGCGGAACTGAACTGCCGGTTAGCCGGGGACCTGAGCTGCCAGCAGCTATACGGAGGCGGACGGAGCTGCCTTCAGCTATACAAAGGCGGACTGAGCTGCCTTCAGCTATACGGAGGCAGACCGAGCTGCCTTCGGCTATACACAGGCGAACTGAGCTGCCGTCAGCTATACAGAGGCGATCTGGGCTGCCTTCAGCTACACGGAGGCGAACGGAGCTACCATAGGGCGGAAGGGAAGCTGAATTGTCGCTGAGCTTTCATGGGCAGAGAAGACAAACTGAGCTGCATGAACCACGGCGTGCGAAGGCGGGCCAAGCTGCTGTAACTGTCACAACAGCATGCAGGTCGCGCTTTAAAATGCATATTTGCACGACTCGGGTATGAAACTATGCTATGGCAACCGACCAGAGTTAGCGAAGCTTATGTAACTTTATCGTTCGTTCTAACTTTGCCAGCATAATTCCATCGCCCATAAACATCCAACACTTTTTGCACCATTCGAAAAAGATCCGCCTTCCTTTATGAACCGATCGGATTATTTATTCTTCTTCGGGAATACCAGGGAACTCTTTCAGTACACTTGATATTCACCAGGCATGGCTCAGTTTACTTTTGTAGTGAGCTCCCAAGTGTTTGTTGTCCTAAGTCCGGGTTCAGAATAGAGCCACTCTCGCAGTGCAGAGCCTGTTGGGAATAACTGAGACGTCTTTCAGCAACGACAGACCGTAAGTGTAAAAGTCAATAAAATTGTGATGGAATGAGAACTGCAGTTCGGTTGTAAATAAACGGAATTTTAACTGACGGCATGCAGATGAAATTTGGCGCCGAAGATCGCAGTACAATGCAGCCAATGGGATTGATGCGATTAGCCGTAAATTCCGGGCAATGATTGAGTGTTAGATCGCCCAATCGGTAACATTAGGATAGACCGGTCAGCGCTAGCAATCACAGCAAAAGCTGAACGCAACAATTTACGCTACGGCTGAGATAACTTTCATTCAGAGCACCTGACAGTAGACCTCTAAAGACCAGGCTCGGCAGCACCAAACCTAGCACCTGGAAGCGATGCCGCCCAGACTGGGCGCCGCGCGGGGAGGCTTTGTTAAATCCGCGATAATCCGGCATCTCCTAGGCATCCGACCCCCGGGTATAGACCTTGTCATTCGGGGATTTATCGGCGGACCACCAACCACGAAGTCAAAGGAATTACACGGACCTATCACCCTGTAACGCTCCAATGCTTGTTCCAGGAGCAGCCACAGCTCGGCTTGGGCTACAGTTCGCTGTGCAACGCTGGCCATGAGAGGCCTTTTGTGGTCATGGGTGGACGGCCGCCCTCGGTCCGCCCATGGAGGGCAGAACCGGACACCACCCAGCACCTGGCTCCTGGGTGCCGCCCTGTGCTCTCCGGGGGCTACTTTGGCTGCATAATCAGCACCTCTCTTCGCCTCCCCTGGTCCCTCCTGACCCCTTCAATTCCCTGTTGTGTCCCTTTTCCCGTCAGCTTCTTTACGCCGTTAGATACCGTCAGTCGCACCCACCCCTCGACTGTTTACCACAGTCAGATGAAGGTCAGATCACAGTCGCTCTGAGAGAGATGGGACTGCTACACGTGGGCGGGGGAGTCCGACCAGCGCAGCCAGACTGCACCGAGACGGTCCGCAGGGTGGGGGCGGCGACATTGGGGGGAGGGGTGCGGCACACCTGTTCATTCGAGACACTTGTGTGTTTGTTTCAGCCTTACCATGGCTTTTTATCTTGTTCGGTTAACCCTCGCCGGACCTATTGGTTTTCTACATACGCGCCGGCCGAGGGGGGGGGGGGGGGCGGGTACGACCCCCCCCTCGCCGTTTCGCCCCTGGTGGAGCTAGCGCGTCGCGGAAAAAACGAGCGTGTGCGCCGTTACGAGACGCAGAGATTGGTACCCGATTTTAAGGTCCTAGGTCAACCGGTGACCTCTGAGGTCAGGTCAAGTGCCCCAAGGTACGGTTCAGTTTTTGGTGAATAACTTCGCAAAAAACGGCCGCAGAGCGCCGATTTTGGCAGCATCGTGTTCGTCTCGCTCAGGCGCGTCGAATGATATACTTTTTGTCCGGGTCAGGTCAACTTGGGGTGTTGACCTCAGGTCAAGGTCAGGTCAGCACCCCCAGGTCACGAAGCTGGTCGAAAGAGGTCATGTCGCATATCATTCGATTCGGAAGGTCTTCCTGAGTCCATTGGTGGCTTTCCCGACTCGCTAGCTCAATTTGATCAAGAGTTATTGACGAAAAACTAATATGACCTTGATGACGTCATAAATGACGTCACGCAAGTTCAACATTGCAAAAGTGACGCATCTAACCTTGCAAGGAATGCATAAAATCACGATTCTGTGTGCTTGAGATAGTTGGAGATCGTTCCCGGCGCCAGAATAGCAGTTTGAATTTTTCCCCATTGACTTATAATGGTGAGGTCACGAAAATGACCTGACCTCATATGACCTTTAGGAAAAATCCGAGATATACAAGTTGTGGGACTCATAATGGATACTAGATCCTGCAAGTTTCATTTCCCTGTGACATCTCCTCTGGCAGTGAGGGCGTTGCGAAGTTGCGACATCTGAAGACCGTGCAGAGGTTCACTTATGACGTCATAGGTCAGTGACCTGACCTGACACAAAAATGCGGTTGGTGTCAAAAGATCCGGCTTGGATCAAAGGTCAGGTATGCCAAGTTTCAGCTCTCTATCGCCAGCGTGTTCGGAGCTATCGCGAAAAAACCCTATGGGGGGGGGCGGCACCCGCCCCCCCCCCCCCCCCTCGGCCGGCGAGGGTTAATAAAGTAATTGATAAAAAAATGATAGCTCCATATAGCCACATAACTAAATAAAGCCAGCGGCGAAAACTTTCTAAATCTAACCGAATGCCGCGTAATCTAACATTTATCGAAGGTCGTGCATGTGCCAGGATCGCGTGGGTAGTGAGCGTCCCACGTAAAACAACGGACCAGTCACAGCTCCGTCGCATGTCGGAGCGTCTCATGAATGTTTCGGATTCACAGGAGCCCCGGTCACCATTTTCGGAGGTGCGTTAGAACTGGTCCACTTGTGATGGACAGGAGGCTGATACGATTGCTGGTGATAGTGGTCAGTCGCTGGTCATGTGAAGTGGTGCGTGCTTATATGAAACACTTGCATGCTACAGCTGGGCGTAACAGTCACGCTTTCAAGTGCCAGCTGTTGATGGGCTTAGCCACATTTGGAATTTATATCGCTGTCAACTGAAATACTTTAATTAGCGACACATTTTTCCAAGCCCGGCAATATTTGCGGCTTAAAAACACTTTTGTTTTACAGAAATCGCAGTTGCATGATATGCGTTGAAAACGGTGACGTTCATGCCCGCGCCAATGCGGCTATTGGTGGGCCCACATAATGGTTTTCCAAGGGATTATCCTGATTAATGAATTGCTGAGCATATGATAAACGTCGCCAAGAAGAGATGACGCGTAAAAAGATCACTGCTGTGAACATAATTGATCAACCTTTAATGTTGTCAAGCCAGATTAGCAGCTTAATTTGTTATGTTGCCGGTAATAATTAACCGCGGTGTGACTATTAATCTTGTAGGATCATTAACCATACACATAACCAGTCGTGCGCATAGGAAACACGTTATTCCCGGCCCTGTATAAAGGAATTTGACTCTTTTGGTTTGAGCAAATACTTTTTAACACATGCTTGAAAGCATCACTAAACAAAGGTGATATCTTACCAGGGTGAACAAAGAACACACAAATATAAAAATAGTTTGACCTCCGAGGGATAACCTGTCAACACTTTCCTCACTACATCATTTTTACTTCTCTTCCCACTGACACACCCCTAACGGCTAACACCCCCTCCAATACCCAGCGCCCGAACAGTACCTGGCAGGTCGGCGGGTCCCGTCCGGAGCTCGCCGTAGCTGTCCCACCGCTGGACCGGGTCCGGGGTGCGGTCCAGATGTACCGGCGCCGCCACCTGGTCCTGACCCAGGCTGGTGGGGGAGAAGTGCAGCTCCACGCCACCGTCCAGCGGGAACCGCATGTCTGACGGAGATAAAAAAAAGGAGCACGGTTAGACGGGTGGACGGTATAGAGCTTAGGAATATGATGGAGGAGAAGATGGATACAGTGAACGTGCTGAAATGTACCGCTGGCTCATGGCCGTAAAGATGAGCCTACGGGAAAATCTCATGCACAAACAGAACACACAAGATCACAGCAAGTCCACCAGAAGCGCAGTCGCCTAATGCACAGCACACACCTTCCCGCTGTCCCCCGTCCTCACAGCTCAGCACACACTTCACAGCTATCCCCACCCCTATACGGCACAGCACACACCTCTCCTACAGCACGTATCCCCACAGCACAGAACACACCGCTCCTACAGCCCCTATCTACATAGTACACATATGTCCATACAGCACAGCACATTACACACCTCTCCGACAGCCCCAGCCCGCTCTCGCAGAGCCGACAGCCCGCCGCCCCGACAGCATCACTCTCAACTGGCACGGTCCGCCAGCCGGGCTCAGTGGTGCGACTCCTAACCGGATACAGGTGCACCAATAAACCCGACCACCGAGACGGAAGGTTCAGGTGCACTAACCCCACCGATGGGCCATCAGGGGACGGCAGAGGGTCAGAGTTAGCTGGGCGGAGCCAGGGAGGGGTATGGATAGAGGGGATTCGGGTATACCCTACATGAAATGTGTGGAAGCAGTAGAGATTGATCGCTGGGGGCGGAATCATGGGTGGTATCATGGGTGGGACGGGTAGCATACGCCGGAAACGGTTGCTCGTCGCCCCGTGGAATCGGCAATGATTGTGGACTTACAGAAGCTTTGGTAAAGTTACATAAATAGCCTAATTTTCCTATTGTAACTGTGCTGAATTAATGCGAATAATTTCATACAATCCGTTCTTTTGACGAGGGCATTCTCATGATCTCGGATGCCGTTGGACGCCATCACGTTCGAGTTTCGCGCATTTCATGATACTTTTCCTGGACCGCGGAAGTGTGAGGCCTCGCCAACAGTACCCGGATGTGACTCAACGGCGGAAGTCACGTACTAATGCCACCATGAGCAATAAGCCAGGAACAAGGATGTGCAGAAGATATGGACCATACCCACGGACATGACGCATCACAAGCAAAAATACAAGACTCCTAACAAGCCAAAGCTACGTTTGCGCCGTATAACGCTTCCATAGCTACACCCTGCTCGCAGTTCGCACTGAGTAGAAGCTAAATGCAGATCGCTATTTTACGATTGATGACAACTCAAAGCGCCTTCAGACTTCAGCGGCAGGACACAACACTATTAGTTCACCCAACCCACCACTAGACAGCGCCACCTACCGTCGCAGGGGTCGTCCAGATCCTGTCGGGGGAAGCTGAGGACGTCGTCGGAGACGGCACACGTGTGGAACTGCACCCTGAAGACCACCTGTCGCTCGGAGGGCGACTCGCAGTGGTAGCACTTGATGAGGATGTCACCCCGCAGCTGGAGCACCACCTCAGGACTAGCGGAGGGGAGGGGCGCAGACGTCAGAACTGGGCAGCACAAAGTAGCAAGCGGCAACGAGGGTCAGGAGGTCAGCAGAAAGCAAATGGTTGCTGTCAGAAATCCAAGGAGATCAGCTGATGGCAAGGGTCCTCAAAAGCAAGAAGAATACAACCACATAACGGCTAGCTGGGCTGGTGAGTCGTGACATTATCGTGAGGTTGAAAAGCTGACGATTGCCGAAATATCAAGCCTATCTGCCTCCGCACTCAACCCTCACCTGATGACGGTGTACTTGGCGCGGTCGTCCACCGTGTACACCCCTGACGTCCAGAGGGGCACCATTCCCTGGTACAGGCGCACGAACACCCTACATCCGCCGCCTGGCCGTAGCTGAGGCGCGCCCACCAGCACCAGGTGGTGCAGGCTCAGTGGTGCGCTGTTGATTTGGATCCGACCCGACAGCAGGCCAGCGAAGTAGTTGACGTACCTGTAGAAGGAAGGGGTGAAGTCAGAGGTGAAGTGAGACGAGTCAAATGATGCATGAGCTTTAGGACGATACATGTGTATTGTGTATCATGTGGTAGGTCAGGTGAGGACTTGTGATGAATATCTGTGAGACCTCGTGATGAGCCCGATGTTAGGTCACCTAACTCATGACATCACACCACACCCATGGCATCGCACAGGTGTGCTGTCATGAGTGGGTGTGAGGCCGATGGTCGGAATCATGCGATTGACAAACCTTGTGAGGATGATGTCAAAGGTGATGCGCAGCGTGAGGAATGTAAAGAGGTGTGGCATCAGGCATGATGTCATATCACAGATGCGCCAATATTCGTCCCATTGACGAGCTATCGAATCTGTTCAGCTACGCTTTTACCTGATCGCCGAGGCTACTAAAACTGTACCTACATATGACTGTGAGAAAGCTGCAGATCATTTGGTACATAGAATGAGCGTAATTCATGCAGTGCAGTTAACGCTCACAGGTCTGGGACATCAACAATCAACATGTCTATCATGAACGTCCTGTGATTGACAAACTGCATGGTCTATCAGATCGGAAATAAGCTTACAGAAGATAAAGGGATTGTGTACCGAACTGATGCGATTATCTAGAGTACGAGTCTCAATGGTTTATGCCGGCAAGCAATGTCAAGAGTTCCTGCCCACTTGTACAGCGTTGCATCATGGGTAACCAACCATGAACATTGACCAAGCCCGGAGAACTGCGTGCATCCGCACGTGTAACGGATAATGCACGCCACACTAGAGAAGAGGAGAGGACAGGAGAGGAGAGGACAGGAGAGGAGAGGACAGGAGAGGAGAGAAGAGGACAGGAGGATAGGTCGTGAGCGGGACTAATCATGTTGCCTCCTGGAGGCCAGCCAGAGTCTCTTTCCCTCCCCTCCCCTCCCTTCCCTCTCTCCTTTCTCATCCCCCGGGGCACGACATGGTGTCTTGTGATTGCATTAGCCTAACTGGCCCGGTAACGAGAGCAGCCAGTCGCGAACACACATAAACACCTCAGAAAACAGACAGCCAGAGCCCAGACAGCACTATACGAGTGGTGCACCTCAACGACGAATGGCAATATCTCATAGCAAATTGATTTTAAAAAATGGCTGAATTATGTTTGGTAAACAAAATATGTGAATGGAAGCATTTATACTCTCTATACAAGTCATAAGAGAAAAAGCTGGAAAAATATCTAATAGAAACAGCTAAGCTGTTTAACTGTACCATCAGCTATTTGATAGAAAAAACGCCGATGTGGAACTAAACGCAGCATACACGCACCGTTTTTGGCTCGGGTGGTCCAGCCGTCGGATCTTGTCGTCGAAGAACTTCTTCATGGCGAACCTGTCGAGCGCCTGGTCGGGACTGCAGATGTTGGAGTAGTGGATGTACGCGCTGACCACCACGCCGATCCGGTCCCAGCCGCCGCTGCACACATACATACACACAGGAGTCAGAACAGTCGAGTGAGCACGTACGCTCGTCTCAACAGCGCTTCGCTGGGCCTAATGAGACGGACGAAAGCATATTCGACAAACGAGCTTGTGGGGCAGTAAATGCTTGTGAATAACTCTTTTATCTTGAACTACGTACCGAAGTTTCATCGCTATGAATTGCCGCAAACTAAAGGCTATCTATTTTCCTTAAAACCGCGAAAAGACCATATCTGCCTTACAGTAGAAACTATAAGCACATTCAGATTCGTTGGATGCTGGGCAGTCGTTGCATTTGGCGGCATTGAATATGACTTCCGTCATCTGGCAGCTGCATCGGCATTCCATTTCCGTTATAATACCATCTCCGACGAATAAATCCCGAGAACTGTTTAGCGGTCGCGATTCGTAGAAAATTCGGCAAGAGTGACAGCCGTTTCTGGAGCTTTGGGTTGTATACTGCCCATTACGAAAATTCGGGACATTTCATCGAGCGCAGTCCGAGGCCAAAGACGTCAGACTGGAAAAGCTCATATTCATTCACTTCCGCGAACCGAAGTTTTAGCATAGTGTTAGTGGAAAATTAAAGAGAATCGGCGCGACAAGAAAACACCAACCCCAGTGCATGCTATTTTCCTTGCAGTGCGAGTTGAAAAACAAAAAGTGCTTCAGTCACACGGGTTCCCTGCCAAGAACGCACGCCGGTAATTGTTTTCCGTTGCCAGTTTTTTCGGACCAAGAAGAGATAAGACACTACAACAAAGCAGCTCGGCAAAACAAAACGGACCTCCTACTGAAGTCGCATTGTGTTCTAACATCACTTGAGTGCCAGATGAAGTGAATATCCCTGCCAAAGACGTGCTATCTGAGGTTCGATCCGAGACGGGGAATGCGATACCGGAAAAAGAAAGCTTGATCCCGCACAACAAAAAATCCCATCAAAGCCAAAACACATCGGGAAAAATAATAGACAATAGCTGCCTTTGTTCCTATAAACACTTCGTCGTTATCCGTTTTTGCTCACATTTATGCTTCAAATTATGTTTAACATATGCCGCAAGGTCAGCGTCACAACGCATTAAGCCTAAAAACTAGTACAACATCGCACTGTTCCGTGTCTGCCCAGCTACGTCGCCTTTAACTACCCACCTGTCCCTACTGCCGTCGGCGCCGCGCGAGTGCAGCACCGCCACGTTGTGGGGGTCGTCCGAGGTCCAGTTGTCGATGGATTTACAGATGGAGCAGAGCCTGTCGAGCGGCGGTGCCAGCGTCTCGGGCCAACCGAACTCGGATACTCGTCGGTTGAGCTCAGAGAGCTCCTGACGCCGCTCCGACAGGTTGAAGATCTGCCCCCGAGGTCAGAGGTCAGATGGTACTCCGGGCGGTGGTGAGAGGACGGGGACACTCGAAATATATCGTCTGATCAAGATAGTACCATCAAGGACCAAAACAATTAGTTCAAACTAATAAAAACTCGGGACTACAAAAACTATTTATTTGTTTGTAAAATTTGCATATAAACAGAGAAAATAAAGAATATAGGCACCTAAAGCGAATTGACATTTTGCGAAGAAAAGTATCGAAGAGGCTACGTGATAGATCACAGGCAGAATTAGTACAAACAATAATCATTTCTATCACTGTATGCTATAAAAAGTGACTATCAATCGTGCTCAAAGAATTATTAAACGCTATCAATTTGCGAGTTCCAAGGACAAGTGGACAGTTCTAAGATCAGCAATAAACCGTGCCGGACTCACCATGTAGTTGTGGCCGTGCTTGTTGTGCAGCATCTGCGCGACCTCCCGCAGGTTGGCGCGGTACGTGTCAGTGTCTACTCCCGGCGGGAAGCAGAGCGCCATCACGCGCTGGGTGACGAAGTTGAGCTCCATGGTGGCCGGCGGGTCAGTGCGCTCCCGAGACCTCCTCTCAGCCACCAACCTGCTCTGGGGGAGCTGGAACACGGAGAGAGGACAGAGGCGTCAGCACACGGTCATTCACAGCAGCGGGCTGGGGTGCAGCTTTATCTGGGTAAGGAGGAAACAAGATTGCTGCAGTGTATGCCTCTAAAATGACAAGCAAGATAAATTGGGCATTCGTCTCGTTCGGTCTAATTTATCGATACCTATTATAAAAAATTATATGCTCAGTTAGTAGTTTTTCAATCCCTTTGGTAATTGTTTAATTTTTATTTCTACTTTATTTACGGTATTTTGTGGAACAGTGGTGGGCAGAGCTACGTTTTCCCGTTCGCTTGACTACTTTCACATGGGGCCGAACAGCTCTAAGGGATTTTATAGCCTACAACACCGCTTCCTAAGGATTATGAAATCAAACATTCCGAAATTACATGTTCTTACAGGTTTATGCTTTTAAAAGTGACGAAAATATCTAAGTATTCTCAAGATTTGATGGTGAATTGCTGTCACGTTGCAAACATAACTAACACTAACAATAGTAATTGCTTTATATGATCAATCATTTCGATATGAACAAGTACGATACCCCAGCAGTGACACGGACAGTGATGACATGACCCCATGACTCGCTAGCCAAGCTCAACGCGCAGAAACCTCATGGACGCCCTAGTCTGACCCTGAACTCAGCAGCGGGCCCCTTTCTGAACCCACATGGACGCCACTGTGTTAGCTCGAAGCAAGTAACGGGACCATGTGCTGTGTTTACGGAAAGCTCAGCCTCCCGTGTGATATCTGTAAGTGGGGGGGGGGGGGGAGGGAGCAGGGCCTCACCAGGTGCCCGCCCCGCCCCCAACAATGACCGTGCACCCACTTTCGTTATACCTACACAGGGCAATGCACCATGCCCTGTGTTGGGCTCGGTCGGTTTGGTTTGGGGGTGCTAGCAGGGGCGGGGGTTAAGCGACGCAGGGGATGTGAGCGAAACACCTGCCTGTACGGCATATGATTGGCAAATATGTGCACAAGGGAATGCAAGCTAAGCGATAAAACTGCACCTCTGCGGCCGAGGGGCTATGTGCATTGTGCAACTAGAACTAACAGCGTAGTATGGGTTTTCGGAAAGGATGATATGATTTCCACGGGTATTTACGTCTTGTTCATGGAAAGATATATGTCAAAATGCCTTATCTCTTGATGGAAATGTGACTGAATATGCATCGTGATCTGTTCAAATAAATTGCTACTCTAACGATGCATTTGTTAATAAAATTATTTGAGGAAGAACTGTGCAAATATACAGTATGTTGGAATGGAACATTGGACGCAGCAGCCTTGGGGGTTCTGTCAGCTGTCGCCACTTTGATTGGCGGATGGGCTTATCGGAACATGGACATTGGACAGATGAAAATAATTCTTAGCACTAACTGTTTAATACATGGAGATCAGAATACGAGTCATAATACGACCTAGCATTCACTTTGAGTGAGTAATACAAAGATACACATTGCCTGATTCTCTTCCGATTCCGATTGAAAACTTCATAATGAGGAAAGTAAAGCGAACTTCTCTGCAGACGACCCGGAAATCTAGACTTAGCAAGAAACTGTCCAAACTTTCGGCGCACCGTATTCATCACAAAATGCCTTACACTATTGTCCGAGATAACCTTTGAACTCAACTCAGGCATTGAAATAATAGCATACTTGCGAGTTGCAAACAAAGCTGCCATGCGAAGACGCTGAAAACGCCCGCTCGTGAATATGTTCGGTCCGTGGATTGCTATGGTGAGGGAAGAAAATTCCAACCTGCACCAAATTTAATCAGAATGTGGCACCATGTAAATGCGATAGAATGGGCCTACCATATAGCGAGAACCAATTCCAGTTGCCACGGAGCCTGCTAAATGGTCCGCTCGTGAAATTTTGATCCCTAATTGCTATGGCCGTATTCATACAAATACCCATGGATAGACCAAATAAAGTGTGGTCGAAATACATCACGACAAAGCAGTGATTCCGGTCCGCTACAAACGCTGGGCGGTATTACAAACGCATGTACGATACCACGCCAGTCGAGGTGTCAAGTATCAATCTTGACTCACAGAAAAGCCGGCTGTTTGTCAGTATGACACAACATGCCTGGATGCCATTCACCACTAGGGGCCCCAGCTTCCTCTTCATCCGCGCCTCGCCCCAGGCCATGTGCATTGTGCAATACGGTGACATGTGCAGTGTGCACGCGGATATTGCAGAGACCGCGGATATTGACAGATGGACACTGTACATACACTATTCCGAGCATGCCATTCCCCGTTCGTATCCTACCATCATCATTCCTTGCACATTAGCGTCTAAGTGCCGATCTGTATACATCATGCCAATTTGAACTCTCCGATGAAGACATGAGCGTACCATTCCCGTCGGCATCGACTGCAGAGGTCACCTGCTGCGTGGCACGCTGGCGCTGGCTGTTTGCAGGCAGAGCGCGCGACAAACTGGCGCCATTTGTGGCGGCGCCAAACACAACGCTGATATGGCGCGCCGCCATATCGGAGCCGTGTGCCACTGCCGACCCGGTGCGGGCCGCACTAGCTGGCGGCGGAGGACGCTGGGCGATCGCCTGGTGCGTGACGCAGAATGCAGATGTTGGCAAAAGGAGAAAGGCTATTGGGGGATCCTTATTAACAGTATGATTTTGCAGCAGTTAAATTGCATTTGTTAAATCATGTCTAGAAGGTACCAATTAAAGTACTATCAACCTTCACTACAATACTCTAAAAAACAGGCTCCTGAAGTTGATCCTTGAAGGTTGTGTCGAACAGCTACATACTATATGCCAGCGTTGGTATAGCCTTTAGTCTTTGAGACAATGACCCCATCACCTTGATCTCAAGTGTAGTGTTCCTTGCACTTCTAGATAAAACGATGGATTGTGCAATGTTCAGGAGTGAAAATATTTGTTTTTGAGATATTAACAGCTAGGCTGGGATGTCTGCTTCTTCCACCAAATTGTGGCTTATGAGATCAGGCTTGATAACATGCCACCGTACCGTACGTCATGGTAACGCATTGCCATTAGCGCTAACAGGATTACTTTACCACAGACAATGTGACCAACGTACATTACGTGCATCATAGGCGGCGGAACGGGGAGGGCACCGGGGCACCGTGCCCCCTTTGATTTTGGCATTTTTTAACATAAGCCCTATGGGCGTTGCATGGAAAGAATGGGACCAAAAGTCGGCAGTGCCCCCCCCCCCCTTAACTAATTGAAGGTGTTCCGCCGCTACTGACGTGCATTACCTCATAGCCATGTCGTTTTCAAGTGAAAAACACATTACAATAGTGAGTGCATGCTCTGAAGACTTTTTTGCGTTTTTTTTTTCATTTTGATCCATGGCGAAGTTAGGGGCTCAAGGCTGCAGGCTGCAATGTGTAACTACCACAGCACACCATAAAAGTGGTGGGTAGGTATCAAATGTAGAAACAAAATACCAATAAAAAGTTAATGGACTGAAATTGCAAGTCGGGTCATTCTACTGAAGCAACGGGTATAAAACATTGCATCAATATTTCAGTGAGAGGCCAAGAAGCAATTGACCCTCGCCCGCACATGGGGGGTTGCCACCCCCCCCCCCCTCCATGTAGTCTTTCAGCTCTGCACTCAACTTTTTTAGAGCTAGAAGGCTGATTTTTCGTATAGCTGCTCTTCTATTCTTTTTTGATGTCCACTGAAAATTTCAAGTTTCTTTGATTTTTGGTTTCGGAGATATGACCTTGTTTTTCAGGTCATGTCATGACCAAAATGGCCAATTCTCAACATCTTGCGTTTGCTATGGGCCTTGTGAGCTTTTGACACCTTGATTTCGGCCTTTTTTGCCAGTCTTACCTCCCACCTATCATGGAACATGTTGTTCGACGATGTACAGGTGTCAAGGTCAGGGTCAAGGTCAACCTAGGTCATCTAAGATAATTGCGTTTTAGGCAAGCTGAATTTGCTTTTTGTGATTTTTTTTACTGCATTTTTGATAAAAGCTTCTTAGATCATGATTCCATGTAATATGGACACAAGAACAATCGGTGCACACATCAGTATACACACAGACACACACAGACATACAAACACATATAATTGACCTTGACCTAACTTGACCTGAAATGACCTCAGCAGCAAAAATCTGGTCGGGTAGTGTGACAACGAGGTTCTAGCTGGCTTGGCACCAGAAAACAGCATCGTCATCGGTATATGCTAAGCAGCGCACTTGATATCCAACGGTGACCCAAAACAGCAACATTTTTTAGTTTGACCTGACCTGGAAGGTCAATGACTGACCTGAGAAGGTAAAACTGGGTACCATTGGATTTGTCTCTTCCCAAAGAATCTTTTTGGTCTTTACCGCTAAGCTCTGTATTGTATTGTATTGTATTGTATTGTATTACCTTCATGGACAATCCACGCGGGGCGGGGCGATTACAATCCAGAGTCTGAGTCGGGCACAAACAAAAACATGCGGGGACAAGAAACACAGGCATACAGATTCAATCGCTGGACATTCGCTCTCTCTATATACAAACGGACGATTCAAGACAGCACACCGCACACGGATGTCGCACCTCCTTCCCCTGACACGGGTCATCGTCGGGCGGTCGCCATCGCCGGACAGACTGCAGCCTTGGCCGCACGGGCGAATTGGGCGGGGCGCTGTTCGATGACACCGGGAGGCAGACTGTTGAGTAGCGCCGCGGCCCGGTAGCCGAATCGTCGCTTGCCAGTCTCGAGCCGCGAGCGTGGAAGGTGGAAAAGGTGGTCCTGTCGAGTGGATCTCTCTCGCGCGTCACTGTTATTCGTGAAGATGGCAGCTAGTGCTTCGGGCTCGCCGTTGCTTATTATTTTCTGCGCAGTTACCATGGTTTTAACATCGGCCATAGCTTTCGGAGGCATCCATCCGAGTGAATCGCGGAGGCCAGAGACGTGATCGAATTTCCGGCGGCCGAATATGACCCGTGCTGCAAAGTTTAGAATTTTTTGGAGTCGGT